CGTTATAAGCCTTCAGACTAACCGCTTAACCATTGGAGGGATCGTGAGACTATAAACAAATTCTATTCCCTACTTAATGGTTTTTAGCGTTATAAGCCTTCAGACTAACCGCTTAACCATTGGAGGGATCGTGAGACTATAAACAAAATCTATTCCCTACTAAATGGTTTTTAGTGTTATAAGCCTTCAGACTAACCGCTTAACCATTGGAGGGATCGTGAGAGTATAAACAAATTCTATTCCCTACTAAATAATTTTCAGCATTATAAGCCTTCAGACTAACCGCTTAACCATTAGAAGGATCGTAAGACTATAAACAAAAATCTAAAATTATTATCAATTTGTATGTTTAACTATCTTATTATTATCCGTGAATCAGAATTAATGTTATTTTGTATTTCTTCTATTGAACTAGATCTAAGGGCCAGTTCTGTACCATCAACAAATATTCACAAACTCACTTCGCTATTTATCTATAAACTATTGTAATGTAAAATACAATGAAAACACGCAAGTATTTTTTTCTGGGCAGTGAAAATGTTTCTTGACAGTTGTGTACTTTCATGTTTCCTTGTTAAAATTATCTTAACAGTGTTTGAATGAAAGTAAGTTAAAAGCACGTGCTACTGGAGCAACATGAAAGAGGTTCTTCTCCCTTTTACGTTTTTTTTTTACTTCCATCTTTGATTCTGATTGCAATAAGTCATCAGACCTTGTTTCTTTCCGTGTAGCCGTAAGTTGAGCTTTTTTTTTAAATCAATGCTAGTCTCATTTTACGCCACTTGACTTATCTCGATGCTTGTTAGATCAAAATTATCAAGCGTGTTGAAATCCGTTTTATGTATTTTAAAAAGTAAGTTTCTTAACGGTTTCATTCACTTACGTACAAACTAGAACTTCTGAAACTTCTCTCAACGAAAGTTTATAGAATAAATAATCTGACTAGTGTGATGTTCTGTTTTTATTTTATTAAATACACTAAGCCTTGTTGCTCTGCGATTTGTTTGCAACATTGCTTTTCTAAGGGTGTGTACATGCCGGTATAAATACACGCATCGGGTTAAACAGCATTTAGGTTCTACCTATGGAATAGCAAACAACGACTTACATTTCTATATTTTATGTCATAAGTCACATTGTTCAGCAACTTGCTGTCTTCAATAGCATGTTTGCAAGGAAGGCTTTGACTCTTGCCCTCGTGAGTATCAATGGCGCATTGTTTATAGTACCATGGTAGAGGTCGCTGTTCACTGAGACCAGCAACATCTGCGATTGAAGACACGCTAACATCAACAGAACTCGAATCAACGGGACTATTCAGCTGTTCACGGCTCTTCTGGGCAACATACTGGATAAATATAGGTAAGTTTTATTATTATTCCATGAGCATAAAAATATAAAAAATATTACCAAGGCAAAACTTTGAACAAAAATACACAATCAGTCGTAAACGGCTCTTCTGGGCAACATACTGGATAAATATAGGTAAGTTTTATTATTATTCCATGAGCATAAAAATATAAAAAATATTACCAAGGCAAAACTTTGAACAAAAATACACAATCAGTCGTAAAATTGCCCAACAATGAAATGCGTAGAACTAAGAATTAAAAATTATAAACATAACTTTCTAGGAATAGGAAAACAGCGATAGCGCAAGAAACAAACAACTAGTTTTTATGTATTTTGTAAGTAAAGTTGTATTACATATTTTTTTTGTATCAGTTTCGTTAACAGTACTGTTTAAATGTTTAATATATATATATATTTATTTATATATTTTCATATTTTTATTATAAAGAGGATTATTTTGCATTGGTAGTTTAGTATATAAATTTAAGACTTGCCTAAATATCTTAAGACTGCCGAGAATTCTAAGATATTCTTAGGATTACGGCCGAAAATATCGATATCAACGAGGGTACTTAGCTGATCAATCAATGCATTCTAATTGTTATAAGTTTTTGTTTTATTATAATACATCCTCATAAATAAGTCAGCATATTAAACTAACTACATAATTTATTATGTTCATTTCTAGTTCTAGCCCATCATGTAGGTAGTTTACTTTGATCAGAAGTTAGTGATAATATCACATCATTAAGAGTTTTGGATGAGATGAAATCTTTGCATTTGCCTATTTTTCCATAATATAACTAAAGGTAATGTAGTGACATCTTTATAGTGTTCCGAATAAACTCTAGCGTGTTCAAAGCGTTTTGTTAAGATGTTAGTCATGGTGATGTGAATGCCAGCTCACAATTAGTAAACAGAACAGTAAACGCATATTAAAAACACTAGGAAAATATTTCATTTAGACATAACATGTGTTTTGTGCCATATATCAAGTGGTTGGAATTAATTACTGCAGGAACAGTGCGATCTTCGATGTAGTTAATCATTCTAATGTAAACACCGTTTATTTATTTATTTTCCAGTAACTATAGTGGTTCCTTTTTCTTTGTTTATCGTAAATTTCAGATCAAGTAAATGAATGCACACACTTAAACTTAGTAAAACCTCTGATTGAATATTTTAAAATGAAATATAATAAAGATAATAAAACGCTTACATGGATATGAATATGCCCATCTGAGGAACATTGTTCACCCCATCCTATCTCATACTTTGAGTAAACCCTTTCTGCTTGGGTAGAACTTGGATCCAAATAGAATTCATTAGGTGTAGGTGGATAAACAGTGAAACCATCTACACATACCTGAAAGGGAAAAACATTATGTGTAACAAATTGATCATTTATCTGATTACTAATGATATAAAAGCTTATAAAGCAGTTATTTTATTATTAGCATATTAAATATAATTGTTTTCAGAAAACACATACTGCCTGACTTTTTCTCAAACAAACATTGAATTTTCTTTCACAATCTACCTCCTATGATAGTCACTGACGCCTTAAACTAGCTATTAGATAGTTCATTCAAAATGAACCACCAGCATGTTTTTAAAGAAACCCGTGGAAATTTGCTTGTAAAGATATTCTACCCAATAGAAAAAAAAAGCTTTCACTCATCTTCCATGTTGAAGGTGATATGAGCTAACTTTCCCTGCAGCCTAGTGATGCTATCAAACTGCACAAAACAACTCAAGTTTATGATAGCGCTTCCCACAAAACATGAAACCTTGATCACATAACTGTATCAAAACACACAGAAAAATACAACGTGAAGTAACGTAAGATAACAAGATAATAGATCCAGTATGAAATTGCTAAACATAACCTAAACTAAAACGCTAACGTACATTTTTTCCTCTGAAAATTGGACCAACAAAATTAGTTATAATTAAAGTGACTTCTTCAGACACGTAACACTGAATAGTCAGTACTTCCCTGAATCGTGCAATATACGATAAGAATGTTTTTAAATATTTCAATTTGAGTAAGGAAAAATAAACCTCGTATGGTTGTGACGTGTACAGTACAAAGGGGAAATTCCGCAGGTGAACTCTGGTCCAGGTCTTACTCCAGTCAATCTTGTAAACGTATATGAAGTCAAGAACACTAATTATGGGAACTGTACTCTTGCCTTCAAATATAACAAACACGTTATGACAAACGGTTGCATCCAATGTGCTTGCTGGGGCAACACTGGCCTTGTAGGATTCCCAGACAGGACGAGATTGAGATAACATCTTATGGATGCTGTCCTCCAAAGAGGGGATGGAGTAAGGGGATCCATAAATTGATTGGTAAGCTCTCTTCAGGCTTGCTTCAGGGAAATAAGATGAGTACTGGAGGTAATCTTCAGACTGATATTGCCATTGTACAGATTCCCTGTCGTAACCGGTGACGACTTTCGTTCCGTATTCCGAACGATTGTAATACGCAGTAGCTGTAAACTGTAAAACAATAATAATAACATAAGATATATACATATATATTAGCATAGCTTTATTGTTGTAACGATGTTTTACACAGAGCAACTGAAGACAAACAAAATTTCATTTAAGAAATTCAGACTGTTACTAAGGTGTTGTTTATCTTATAACACATTAATCATAAACACCGAATCCTAAACAGATACTTTATAACGCATTTATCATAAACACCGAAACATAAAAAGATATCTTGCAACACCTTTATCATAAACACCGAAACCTAAAAAGATATCTTACAACACATTTATCATAAACACCGAAACTTTAAAATATACCTTATAACACATTTATCATAAACATCGAAACCTAAACAGATACCTTATAACACATTTATCATAAACACTGAAACCTAAACAGATACCTTATAACACATTTATCATAAACACCAAAACCTAAACAGATACTTTATAACACATTTATCGTAAATACCGAAATATAACAGATATCTTATAACACATTTATCACAAATACCGAAACCTAAACAAATACCTAAGAACACATTTATCATAAGCATCAAAACCTAAAAAGATACCTTATAACACATTT